ACACTCACACACACACGCATGCATGCAAACACCCACACGCATGCAGACTGACATGCACACACACACACACATGCAAACACACACACACACACGCAAACACACACACATGCAAACACACACACACACACACACACACACACGTAAACACACACACATGTGCACACACACACACACACGCATGCACACACACACACACACACACATGCACACACACACACACACACACACACATGCACACACACACACACACATGCACGCATGCAGACTGACACACACACACGCATGCACACACACACGCATGCATGCACACACACACGCACACGCATGCACACACACACGCGCACGTACACACACACACATGCACACACACACACACACACACACACACACACACACACACACACACACCGGTGTCAAAACCTTTTTGCCACATAGAGCTAAATCAAAAGCAGCAGCTTCCTTGATCCATCTTCTCAACAATAAATGAAAAATGTAATATTGTTGTGATCTATGTAGAATGACTGTCTGCAAAGATGCAAAACATTAACAGTCTCATCATTTAGTTTTATGTCAAAAGAAAAGATTCAGTTCCTTTGATACGTCTAAATGTTGCTCCGAGGGCCTTAACGAAGCTGCACCCTGGACGCCCTTTCTCTTGAGGTTATGGGAAGCTGGTTTTATTCTTTTGTTTATTTACTTCCTGTCTGATGTTCCTCACAGGAGCGGCAAAGCTTTACGCCTACTGGATTGTGGTGAACTTCCGTGAAGCCTACAACATGTTCGCTGTCAACGGGATCCTTTTCAACCACGAGAGCCCGAGGAGAGGTCGGTAGTATTCACGAGTCTTCAGAAACTTTTAAAAGGTCCAGCAACGATTCTGTGTTCCTTTGTATTTAGACAGGGTCACAGGGAGCACAGGTCTCTCCTCAAGGAGTTCAAACATGAAATCTTCACTGATGATGAGAAAAACCAGATGAATTTTATCTTTATGTGATCACGTGAGGGAGTGACATCACTGCTCTCCAGTCAAACTTACAATAAGGCAGTAAAACACGCTAAACTGTTGTCGGATTGTGTAAAAGTATTCAATTACACGCTCTATAAAAAGTTGTAATTATTCACCGGTGGAGCCAGGTTTCCAATAAGCACTTCTCACACACTCACACACACTCTTACGCCCGCTCCGACACATAGTGAGTCGGCTGTGGTCACATTTTTAATATGCGCCCTGAGCCCTGAGGGTCGCAGGCGTTGGTTTAACCCGATTTACACGCCACTGCCACTCTAAATTAATAGCACATGACTGGAGGCCCAGCGCTGCGCCCAGGTCAGCCGCTCAGGTGTTTATGATTTATCCCCTAATGAAGGCACCGGCCACGACCCCGGCCCTGGTCAGGGGTCAGCCAGTAAATGGGTTACCACAGATAGATAGGTGTGGGAACCGGTGTAGGTTACTGCCAGTTCAGCAAAGATGGCTGCTCCTCGTATTGACTGAGTCGAACTGGGAAGAGACGAGCGGCCTGTAAAAGGGCTGGTAGATAAACGATGGTGTAAAATCAGAGCGAGAGGCTGATAGAAACCAACCCCAACCCAGGAACGCTTAGCTGTGTTGTGACCAGATGTGGCGCTTTCGTTGGCCAGGGCTTACCCAGAGCTCCAGATTCCAACGTGGGCTGCCGGTCATTCACACCGCTCACAGAAAGCTGCAGAGGCGTGCTTTTCTTTGTTGGATGATGTTTTGTACAAACTCCAGGATTTTTTTCTTTGCCTCACAGTTGCACAAATGAGAGATTGAGCGACTGCGTGTGCAGGTTGCAAAGGTACAGAGGTACCACAAGTATCAGTGGAGCTGAAGAGTAAAGACAGCAAACCCTCGGCATGTTGGCGTAACTTAACTCCTGTGAAGCGTAGCACGCAGCAGTTAGCACGCAGCAGTTGACATGCTGCATTTAGCACGCAGCAGTTAGCACACAGCCGTTGGCACGCAGCAGTTAGCACGCAGCAGTTAGCACGCAGCAGTTAGCACGCAGCATTTAGCACGCAGCAGTTAGCACGCAGCAGTTAGCACGCAGCATTTAGCATGCAGCAGTTAGCACGCAGCAGTTAGCACGCAGCATTTAGCATGCAGCAGTTGGCATGCAGCAGTTGGCACACAGCAGTTAGCACGCAGCATTTAGTATGCAGCAGTTAGCACACAGCCGTTGGCACGCAGCCGTTGGCACGCAGCAGTTAGCACGCAGCAGTTAGCACGCAGCAGTTGGCATGCAGCAGTTGGCACGCAGCAGTTGGCATGCAGCAGTTGGCACGCAGCAGTTAGCACGCAGCAGTTGGCACGCAGCAGTTAGCACGCAGCAGTTAGCACGCAGCATTTAGTATGCAGCAGTTGGCACACAGCAGTTAGCACGCAGCAGTTGGCATGCAGCAGTTAGCACGCAGCAGTTAGCATGCAGCAGTTAGCACACTGTGTTAGCACGCAGCCATTGGCATGCAGCAGTTAGCACGCAGCAGTTGGCATGCAGCAGTTAGCACACTGCAGTTAGCACGCAGCCATTGGCATGCAGCATTTTGCCCGCAGCAGTCAGCACACAGCAGTCGGCATGCAGCAGTTAGCACGCAGCAGTTGGCATGCAGCAGTTGGCATGCAGCAGTTAGCACGCAGCAGTTGGCATGCAGCAGTTAGCACGCAGCAGTTGGCATGCAGCAGTTAGCACGCAGCAGTTGGCATGCAGCAGTTAGCATGCAGCAGTTAGCACGCAGCAGTTGGCATGCAGCAGTTAGCACGCAGCAGTTGGCATGCAGCAGTTAGCACGCAGCAGTTAGCACGCCGCAGTTGGCATGCAACATTTTGCACGCAGCAGTCAGCACACAGCAGTTGGAACGCAGCAGTTGGCACACAGCAGTCAGCACACAGCAGTCAGCACGCAGCAGTCAGCACACAGCAGTCAGCACGCAGCAGTCAGCACGCAGCAGTCAGCACGCAGCAGTCAGCACGCAGCAGTCGGCACGCAGCAGTCGGTACGCAGCAGTCGGCACGCAGCAGTTGGCACGCAGCAGTTGGCAAGCAGCAGTCGGCACTCAGCAGTTGGCACGCAGCAGTTGGCACGCAGCAGTTGGCACGCAGCAGTTAGCACGCAGCAGTTGGCACGCAGCAGTTTGCACGCAGCAGTTTGCACGCAGCAGTTGGCAAGCAGCAGTTGGCACGCAGCAGTTGGCACGCAGCAGTTAGCACGCAGCAGTTGGCACGCAGCAGTTGGCACGCAGCACTTGGCACGCAGCAGTTTGCACGCAGCAGTTGGCACGCAGCAGTCGGCACGCAGCAGTCGGCACGCAGCAGTCGGCACGCAGCAGTCGGCACGCAGCAGTCGGCAAGCAGCAGTCGGCACGCAGCAGTCGGCACGCAGCAGTCGGCACGCAGCAGTCGGCACGCAGCAGTCGGCACGCAGCAGTCGGCACGCAGCAGTCGGCACGCAGCAGTCGGCACGCAGCAGTTAGCACGCAGCATTTAGCACGCAGCAGTTGGCACGCAGCAGTTGGCACGCAACATTTAGCACGCAGCAGTTAGCACGCAGCAGTTAGCACGCAACATTTAGCACGCAGCAGTTAACACGCAGCAGTTAACACGCAGCAGTTAGCACGCAGCATTTAGCACGCAGCATTTAGCACGCAGCAGTTGGCACGCAGCAGTTGGCACGCAGCAGTTGGCACGCAGCAGTTAGCACGCAGCAGTTAGCCGCGGTTATAGTGGATGAGTACATTTCCACCGTGGTGTCCCAGACGCATGGGGACGCATTGAGTCTTGTTTTTTACGCGCTATGCCTCCAGAACACGTCAAGCTCGGCAGTTCAGATCAGGCCAGACAGGAAGTCACACACAAAAGCAGCGTAAAACATCCCACAACTTTCAAAATAACAGTCACATGCAGATTTCCAGTTGCTTAAGTGATGAAAAAGTTTGTCATCACTCGTGAAACCTCTGTTGCCGAGGTAAATAAAACCACGGACCTTTTTGGATGAATGCTGCCGCCGGTCTCCTTGCTTGTTATCGAGTGAACTGCTGAAATCACACGTGGGTAACTCTCCGGTAATTTTGTGACCTTCTGGGACCAGCTTTGCGGAACGCTTTTGCTCCCGTTTCACATCTGAAACGCTCTCGGTGGGACGGGAGCCCACGCTGAACGCCTCATCCAGTGGAAAGCTGGGGTCACATGTTTTATCTTCAGCTACTCTCGGGACTACCTCCAGTTCATCACAATGAATCCATTACTTCTCGTTTATGCGTTCATACTGTGTTTTTGTCTGTAATCCATTTTTAGCCCTTTTCTTACACAGTTTAGTAAAAGTTATTTGTCTACCAGACATGTTTCAGCTAGTAGCTCCAGCCACCCTCAGATCGCCGGTGATGGTGACGTCACTTCCTTTTATCCTTTGGGCAGCAGAGAGCCACACCGTTCCCTGCTGCCTGCGGATAAAAGGAAGTGATGCCACTTCCTTGCAGATGATACAGTCCCACGTGTGATCCAGTATAAATACTCCATGGGCTCTGCCCATGGTCCTGTGCCCACGGCCGCCTCCTGATCTCTGTTGCTTCCTTGATCCATCTTTTGTTGTTCTGTGTTTATGATCCGTGTTCCGACCAAGCCCCCATAATTCGGGTCTGGAAATGAAGCAAAACAGGAAGTGACAATAATTGCAGTTCCACCCTCATCCACTAGGGGCTGGTGTCAGAAGCGAGCAAATCCTCATTGACTCCCATGTTAAAAATACCAATTTCACAGCAGAAATAAACATGTTTACAGCCTGGTACCAAAACATGTTTTTGGTTTAAATGATCTAGTTTACACTCATGACAACTCTGAGGGGGTGAATTTTTTTCTCACTCTTCTGTTTAAGTGTATCAAAAGCCTAAAATTCTGTATAATTAATGAGCATCAGACCCACGTGACCACAGAGCTAGCTCCGTGGAAAGGCCTCAGTAGAGCCTCGGCCTGGCCTGGAAACTGTTCCGCCATTTTCAGTCTCTCAACTTAGACCATTAGTTGTAGCGTTTGTGTTCTTTTTGGATATTTTTTGTGCAATTGTTGGACAAAATGACTTGCTGTGGCATCAATTGCACTAATAGAGCGTCCAAGGAGTCTCCTCTTCATTTTTTTCGGTAAGTAAAATTATATAAATAGCCTGTATTTGATATAGCGCCTTCTAGAGTCCTGGAACCCCCCGAGGCGCTTTACAACACAATCAGTCATTCACCCATTCACACACACATTCACACACTGATGGTGATGAGCTACGATGTAGCCACAGCTGCCCTGGGGCGCACTGACAGAAGCGAGGCTGCCGAGCACTGGCGCCACCGGTCCCTCCGACCACCACCAGCAGGCAACGTGGGTTAAGTGTCTTGCCCAAGGACAGCAACAGACTGAGCGGGGCTCGAACCTGCAACCTTCCGATTACGGGGCGAGCACTTAACTCCTAAATTATATTTATGTATTTTAGGTCACTGCCGAGCTGAGCTTAGATTTTAACATGTACTGTTTAACCATGAAATTTAAATGTAATAGGGTAAAACCCAGTGCATTTAACATAATGCTGCACTTTAGAAAATGGGTTGATATATAACATGTTGGTGGAGCTGGGCTCCGACTATCGGTACGGTCCCCTCCTCTCAGCGGCAGCTCCGCGTATTTCTGACTCAGAAGCTCCGGTGTTGTACACAGTTAACTCCGGTTGTAGCTAGGTAGCTACCTCTGTTAGCTTAGCTCCCACCTACGCGTTAGCTTTGGGTTAGCTTGTAGCTACATCGCTTCAGTTCGACGGGTGTCGTCACTT